TAGACAAAGATAAATCAACCCCAAAATTAGTCTTGTAAACCAGGCAACAGAATAATCATTAGCAAGTGCCCTCAAATATATGCTTCCCAACAAACAAATAAATCTCTACATTGATGTCTTAGCACTTCTTTGGTTGGATCACCTTGACAATAGTTTTTTCTATGGCAAATCATGATTATGATACTTGAACACCTTGATAATAGGTTATCTTCTTGAAATGATCAGGACTTGCTATTCTTCTTTCATTTCCTATTCCAACATTTAGAACAATAAATTGAGTTAATGATAAATCTATGCCTTTGTGCTCAAATTGAACCGTCCAGTACTCTGAAGAGTGTGGGTGTTAAATAATTATAGGGTTTTCTAATGGTCATTACCTCATGTATATTCCTTCCAACAAATGTTTTGCCAGCAAAAAGCAGAAAAATGGAAATTTCAGAGGTTATCAGTGTCACCTTCATGTATTTGCCATTGATTTACAAATTTTAGTTATTTTTGAGATTTCGAGATAAGTTCTGAATGAGAAAGAAGTAGTACTTACAACTTTAGACATCGAGAGTGTTTGCAGTTACACTGCTTTTGCTTTTTAGGAGTACCATCTTTTACTTCACTAGCACTTTGCCTCGGACGTGCTCTTGGAGATTCTGGTTTCCTGAAAACAGTGAGTATTAGCATCATATAGATCATATTAAGTCTAAGTTAACATGAAAGATTTCCCTGTCACAGCTTTATAATTCAGAGCTCCAACAATGTGCCTAGATCCCAAGAACACACCCAAATTTTGACATGTTTGAGGTGAGCAAAGCAACAGAGCTCTTTGAATATTATGTCCAATTTCAAGCCAGAGCAATGTGAGACAAGCATCATCATGTATTGTGAAAATGATAAACTTATTGGCAAATTTAGGATCAAGATGCAGAAGGTAATATGGTCAACTAATCAGAGACATGTTAGATGACTAACCACAAATTAATATAAGGTTAACAGTTTAAATGTGAAGTACACCGACAAGCAAAATGGAAGCCAATCCGGGTGAAGCATGCCTATACGTGTACAATATCGTTTCTTTCCATAAGTAAGCAAGTCAGCTGCAAAATGACTTACAAGGTTGCAAGCAAAGGATCATGATTATCATCTCTAAAGTCATGTATTGCCTCACAAATCAACCAAAATATAAAAACAGAGAGCCAAACTGGATCAAATGAAAAAGAACAAAAAGGCAATCCAAACATTTTCTTCCCTCTCGGCCACTCACATATCCCCGTCTCCACAGGGATACAAGAAAAAACGCTCATCTCTATCCTTTTTATCTGACACTAACCTACACAACAAACTACTGATTAATTATCTATCCCAATTCCACCAGAAAAACTTGACTTATCCCTAGAAAACACTCCCGATTTTTGCGAAAGGAATCTCAAATTCTGAATTATTTCGTATAACCAAGAAATCTGTTATTTCAGATTTACAAACTCAGTGGCGTGGCAACCATAAATCCAGACTGTAAAACCTTTGTATTGAACCAAAGTCCAAGAGGTATTTCATATTCTCTTCCTACGTGCTTAAAGAGGCAATCTTTAGCAGATAGCAAACAAATTATAGAGTTTAAAACAAACTTCCAACCACCATTTCCTCTAATCCTGCCAAATTTCAGTGACATGAGCTAAAAAAGAAACTTTTTTTTTTCAATGAACCATAGATACTTACGGAGGTCGTATTGAAGGATGAGCCGGAGGCACCGCCGTTTGTTTCATCGGCATCAACACCATATGTTGCTGCGGCTGTAATTGTGGCCTTTGCACCGTCGTTAGCTTCACTGGTACGATTTGTGTACCTGACGTCGTCATTACTAACGGCTGAATCTTCTGACTCTGCTCCGTCACAGCCGTAACGGCGGCCGCCGGAGATTGTCCAAACACCGTGAAATCCAGCTGCCTTGCCAGCTTCTTCGCCGGAAAATCCACTCCTGTACCCACCGTAGAAGATACAACAACCTCCGATTGTCCCTTGTTTGGAGGGAATGAATCCCCTCCTTCACTCTTCTCCATTCAAACAAAACTCAAAAAAAAAAAATCCTCAAACTCAATTCAAAATTTTCAAAATTCACTTATCCTCCTCTACAAACATCACAACAATTCCTCAAATATCCATCAAATTACACCCAAAAAAACCTCAAAAATTCAAAATTCATCACATAAAAACTCTATCACTCCTTAATCAGATTCAAATTACAAAAATCCACCAAACATTGGCTCAAAAATCACCAAATTCAACAAAAAATCGATCGAAACACACACACAAAAACGTGTATCTCTGTGTGTATATACGGACGGAAGAGGAGATTTTTAATTTTATTTTTTCGAAGAAGAGAAAGAAGAAGGCTTATGTGTTTTTGCTGCTCCCTCTAGCTTTTGAAATTCAATTTTTGTAAATATTGGACGGTCAGATCTTCATCATATTTTCATCATACGGTGGATATGAAGAGAATTAATCGGACGGCTAAAATTCATAGAAAGCGGTGTAGGATTATATCTGACCGTCGATCAAAAGAAAAATTACAATTGCGTGTTTGTCTTTTTCTTATACTCTTTCATCATCTAAATAAGATGACATTTTCATTATTTGACAAACAAAAATAAATAAATATTTAAAATTATATACTAAAAGTATTATAAATTTATATTTTTTATCATAAATTAATTTAATGAAAAAATATATCTAGTCAAAAAATTTATAGTTTATCTCTAAAAAAGAAAAACAAATTATGACAACTAAAAGTGAACTGAGAGTAAAGGTGTTCATTGTTTGGATAAAAACCGATCCAAATCGAACCAAACCAATTTAATTAAATTTTGATTTGATTTAATTTTAGATTATTTTAAGAACTGTATTTGGTTTGGTTATGATTTTTCTCGAAAAAAAACTAAGAAATAACAAAATCCAACCGAACCAACAAGTTATATACATAAATGTTATTATAAAACATACATAATATATATATTCATAAACAATTTTAAAGATTTAATATATGTTTCATCAAAATTTATTTATAATTTACTTATGAAAGAAAATGTCAAAAACGAGAACTTTTTTTTATTGGTTTCATGTATATGAGTGTCTGTGAAATTTGTTGTGGGACTGAAAAATGTTATTGTCTCTTCCTTGTGTCAAAATAGTGAATTTTGGAGTTTTATTCAGTAAATTCAATGATCGAAAATTCTGTAATGACATTCATTTTATCTATTTTTTTCTGTTTGAATGGATTGTTGTCACTTTTTTTACGTTTTGAATAAATTGTTTCTTTTATTTTTATGTATAATTAATAATCGAATGACCAAGCCAAATCAAAACCGAAAACAGTCAAACTGATAAATACATATAATATTTGATTTGATTTGATTTTAATAATTTTAAAATTGATTAAATTTATTTAATTTTAATAAATAATCGACTCAAACCAACCAGTAAACACCACTAACTAACAGAGAGTATATTCTTTTTAAATATATATATTCCTAATTTAGTAATATCATAAAGCAACTTAAAATTACAACACTAGGAAACAATTTCAAAATAAATATTCCTCCAAAGTACCAAACACACCAGTATTAAAAACAATCATTTTTAAAGAATAAAATATTTCAGCAGTACCAAACACACCAAATTATTTCTAGCATTCTATTTCATTTAATTGACATATTACTTAATTTTTAAAACTAGATTTTTTATATCTGAAAACTTCTAAGTTTAAAGTTTCTATTTTACATTTAATCAGTAAAAACAATAATTATTAAGTTTTGATCTCTAGCTAGGTGATGGATATGTGAACATATCACAAGAGATAGGAATAGAAATAAAAATTAGTCCAAATAATAAGAGAGTGTTTTTCGTGATAAATAAAATTAAGGTGATAAGACTATGATGATTCGAATAGAAAGAAAAAATATACAAATACTCTATAATATAGAGGTGAAAGTCGGCTATAATGGGTACGAGGAGACTAGTAGACAAAATAAAATATATCATTAGCTTATTGAAGACATGACCCTAAATACGTAAATTTGAAGATCAAAACTTAGGATAAACGCAGTGTCAGAGTGTCCAATTGGACATCCTTCATCGGAGTATTATACCGTATATACCAGTAAAATAATAAACAAGTTGATTAAATAATATATTTTGAACACCTTTAACACAACAATATGACGTAGCCTAGTGAGTTTAGACGCCTTGAAAGATTAAAGACGTGTGTTCGAATCGCACTAGTAACAATTTTTTTTTCACTTCTTAAGAAAAACAATTTCGCTTTAGCATTTGGACACCCGTCATGAAAATTCTAGCTCCACCACCGAATAAAAATCAATAGGTAGTCGATTATTGATTAATTTCCTTATTAATATTTTATTTTAACTATTGCTACTATTTTATTCTTTAATTCTAATTTATCGTTGATATTAATCATCATATTAAAGTTATTTTTTTAAAAAAAAAATTGAATATTCAACTCCAACTTAGCGCTGCATTTTTCTTGAGAAAATGAAGAGAGTTAGCATTATATACGCCGACATCGGCTTTCAATTAAAATTATAACAACCAATGAAAAGAAGACACGTGGCATATCACTCAGCGAAGAGCAAGCGGGAAAATAGGTGGGCTCGAGAGCACGTGATTTTTTTAATTTTTAGCACACAATGAAAATGTTGACTTTTGTGGGGACGTAAGAAAAATAAACATTAATCATCGAATCAAAATTTATTATATCGAAGATTGATATAAATAGTGATTCGAATGTCTTAATTGATTTATGCTGATAAATCAAAATGTCAAGGGATTAAGAGTGAGACTGTTATGAAAATATCCAATGGTAGCACATAAACAATGATTTAAAAAAATAAACGATAATCATGATGTTCGAGTCAGCTTGCGTGACTAATTTCACGAGATACCTGCTACTTTCCACCGACAATAGATACCAAATAGTTACTCTAGGTAAGGACAGATGAGAAGAAATCACAATGATAATATATATTAGTAAAGTGTATAAATATGTCTCTGTTTCTCTATTTGGTATTCCAATAATGGACGCCATAATTGTTACAACTTGCAAAAACTTGAGAATCTCTTCCAACAAAATATATGAAGTGCTGCATAGTTTAAATAGTCTGCAGCAAAAGATGATGTTGATCATCACGCGGTAGTCTGGAGAACAAATTCTGAAAAATAAAAACGGACTTCCTAGCTCACGAAAACTGAATTGAGAAACCATGATCCGTGGTTGAAACCTTCGTTGGGCCAAAATCATCAAAGTCTGAGTCGGAGTTCAGATCTCTATGAAATTCTTCAGGTGAATCATCATTTTCAGAGCTGTGTTTGGAGGGAATCCTCAATTCAGACGATGGGACTGGCAAGGGATCTTCGTTTAGATACTTGTCGTGGAGTAATTCCATTGCAGTAGCTCTACCAGCCGGGTCATAACATAGCAACTTTTTGACGAGAAGAATTTCATCATTTGACCTGTTCGATAGACATGCTTCTAAGCCAATTGGATTATCTACTTTACCGAATGACATAAGCTTGTAATCAGGAAGATCCGCACAACCAGGCCAGACTTCTTCAGATAAGTTCCCCAGAACACTTAAAATTCTGCCTATTTGATCAATATCAGCATTTCCAGGAAAAAGTGGCTCCAAACGCAAAACCTCTGCAAAAATACAGCCTAGTGACCACAAATCAATCTCTGGCCCATACCTAGTGGATCCGTAGAGTAGCTCAGGTGCCCTGTACCAACGAGTTCCAACACAAGATGTAAGTGGAGGAAAGCAATCCTGCTCACCATCGTCAACATCATACGAATATGTGCCTGGTAAGAGATCTTCCTCAACATAACTCATGGTTCCGGTAGCTAGACAGGATGTGTCCCCATCTTGAATATTACTATCTTTATCAGTGTCATCGAAGGGCCTGAATCTAAGCTCATCTGACTCTCCAAGACGGGCTGCTTGAACCGTAGATCCTGGATCTTCAATAAATACACCTCCTTCAGAAGACACATCTGATATGTGTTTGAAATGTGATGGACCAGCCACAGTTCCCTGATAAGGAGTGCTTTGTACATACGGCTGTTGATTGTCATTAGCTACAAACCCGGGGGCCAGTAGTATTCTAGCCTGTGTGGAGCAAGACGAGGCAAAGTCATAAGGTTAGAAGGAAAAGAAAATTAACAAGAAGTGAACTTGCAAGGGATCTATGCATTTAAGGATGTTCCAGCAGAAGAATAAAAGCACTATAGATGCCACCACAAGAAGGCTCTATTCTTGTGAGAGAAAATGTTATGCACATAGAGTTAGAGTGGATCTAACCCGACTTTTCAATGAATTCAATAGAACTATTGCTTTTGCCTCGAACTATGTACACATAAAAACAACAATAATAACTGCTACACTGCAGTCCAAACAAGCTTACGGTCTTCTATATGAATCCTCAATGGCCATGTTTCTCCATTTAAATCTTCTCCGACCAAAATTATACAAATAAGTTCTCTATAATCTATATTTCTTTCTATTGAGAACATAAATTCTCTATTTTCTACTAACATATAAATCTCTCACAGTGCTAAAAGACTACTAGAAAGCACGCGATCTAAAGTGACAAACTACTATAAATAAAACATATACCCAACTAATTGGTATCACTGGACCTCCACACCTCCCAGCGAACCAAGGGAAGCATGACCTTACTAATATATGAACCACAGGATTAGGGATCTTGTGGTTCTATCAATTAAGAAGTTGTATTCAAAGCTTGAGTTCATACTAGAGTCAAGCAATAACATTTTTTAGGCTCCTTCCCTTCCACTGCACGTAACCACGTTAGCAGGTAGTACAAGCCCTCTGTCGCACACATCTAACCAGCTTGTGTGGTTCATCACTTCCATTTAAAGCTCTCATTTGTTGAAGCAGAGAATAGTGCGCTTTAGGCGCTGAGCAAGAAACTTCCATACTTAAATAGATTTATATCTTTCACTAAGTCAGCATAGATTCCATAATATTGTAACAAAAAGGAAATGTACAAATATATAACAAGATCATACTCATTCTAAACCTACTAATCTAGTAATCCTATATACTGATTCGCCTTTGTATTAAAGCTACTAACTCGAACAAGGAGCTTAGTGACAGAACACCTCAAAGGATATCTTTTTGAGCTATATACTCGAACTCTCCTTAGCTGTAAATTCTCTTATGCATAGCAATAAAAATTCTACTAATAAGAAATGAAAATGCAAAGAAGTTCACATCTTGACGAGTATTATGCCTAGAGAAATCCTGTTTGTAAGCTCAAATGAATCAGAAATATCATAAAAGGCACAAATATCCGATTGATGCATAGTAAAAAATACACCTGAAGTATCATAATTTTGTGAGTTTTCCGCCTGAACTATCAAAAACTACTTCCAATTGATGGATTAATTCGATATTGTTGAGCTTAAAAAAGCAGAAAATAATGAGCACCTGTCCAAAATCAGCCAATTTGAGGATCCCATCAGAAGAAATCAACAAATTCGAAGGCTTCAAATCTCTATGTACAATCGAATTCCGGTGACAAGCATCAACTCCACATAAAATCTGCATCATCCATCTCTTAATCTCCCCTAAACTCAATCCCTTTTCCCATTTCTTCGCTTCCTTAATAAGACAATCCAAATCTGTATGCAAATACTCCAATACAAGCACCGCATCTTCATCCTCCCTCCAGAAATACTCATGTAAAACGACAACGTTTGGACAATGCTGAAGCGTCTGTAACGCTTCGATTTCCCGAGCCGCAGATTGATAATCGTGGATTTCTTTCAGAGCGACGGTGACAGAATCCGATCTCCTTCGAGCTTTGTATACATCGGAATATGCTCCGGCGCCGATCCGATTGAAGATTTCGTATTTGACGGTGATCTCTTTTCGGGTATGGATGCTCCAGCTCTTCGTTGATGGAGGATCCATATTATTTTTTCTTCTATGTTGAACTGCAAAAGGGAAGTTTTGATTATTTTTTTTTAGACTTTTAAAGAAGAAGATGATAATTGGTTATGTCACGTGAGTTAGAGTCACTGCACGTGCCTTGGAATGGACTAAGCATAAATGAAGAATATAATTCCATTCGAGAAAAAAGACAAATATATCGAAACTATTATAAATGGTACGCCAGATATCCTCATCATATTTTTGGAATATTGGTGTCCCTTCCGTTCAAAAACTTGAGCATATATGTCCTTCATTCTAACGGAAGACTAAATAGGGACACGTGACACAATCTTATCCGTCGATAAATGTCAGATCGGTGGATAAGTTTATGAGATGTGTATGTCTATTAGTATAAAGGGTATATATGCTCTAGTTTTTGGACGGCAAGGGCATCAATGTTCCAAAAATATGATGCAGGGTATTTGCATACCATTTACGATGTTCGGGGGACATTTGTCCTTTTTTCCTAATTTTAATAACAATAAGTATTGAAATGAAAGGACAAATATACCCCTGAACTATCGTAAATGGTATGCAGATAACCCTCTGTCATACTTTTGGGACGTTGATGTCCTTGCCGTCCAAAAACTAGAACGTATATACCCTTCACTCTAACGAAAAATTAAATAGTGACACGTGATACAATCTTATTCATCGATCTGATGTCGGGTCGGTGGATAAGATCATGACACATGTATGTACGTTAGTGTAAAGGATATATATGTTCTACTTTTTGGACGGCATGGGCACATATTTTCCAAAAGTGTGACGAATGTATCTGCATACCATTTACGATAGTTTGAGAGTATATTTGTCCTTTTTCCCATTATTGAATTGTAGTTTAGTTGTGGGTTAGAAGCTAAGTTATTAATGATATCATGTTCGGTAGTATTTTCTTGTTATATAAAAAATTTAATATATTTAATATGATGTTTGATTTACAATTTAGAAACTCACTTTACTAATACTTACATGTACAAGTGTAATGACTTTCGTGGTATTTTTACGTGTATTTACCGTTTTGCCCCTAGTTGTAGCTTTTGTGTGGTGCGGGCTATGGGGTTTACACTTGCCTACTTGGGGTTTGTGGTAAATGTCATTATAGTCCGATTTCGAGTTGTGACAACAAGTTTAACGAGGAAATCTATCTATTGATTTATGCTAGGTAAAAAATGAAATAACTAACTAAACTTTGCTTAACTGAATTGAACACAGTTATTTTTTAGACGAACTAAAAGAGAAAAAATACCATAATAAATTGAGATGAATAAAGTATTTATTTACGTAAAAATTTAATGTGGGATAGTGATTTTTTTGCCCTCAGTCCCTTTTGTTTCAATTGATTAGGTAAAGATCTTTTATCATGAAAAAGATGAGTAGGTTTAGAGAATCTGAAACAAAATCGATAATATTTTTGAATGAATCCGAGCAACATAACATTAAGGGAATCAACAAATTCCCTATGCTTTTTATACATCTAGTTTATGATACAAAACAAATACTATATTAACAACAACATTACTTCAGCCATATTCTGATGCCACCAAAAACAACTTGCATTAACTCAACTACTATGTCTCAGACTCAAACTCGTTATAATATGAAATAATATAACATGAAATCCACCTAACGTTTCGCTAAACAGCAGCACAGCCTCCACATACGATCCCCCTGCTATCGGAAAGAAATGAGAAGTTACATAGTGAACAAGTTGGTCCTCAAACCAACTATGTTGCTCGGACTCTTTCAAAATGACACCGATGAATCAAGAAGTAGTACACTTACACAATTGAGCAGCCTGTGCTTCTGTGCCTTTTCTTACTTGTAACTTCCATCCTCCTAGGAGGTTGAAGCACAACCTTGATTGCCGTATCGAAAACAGCTTTCACATTCTGAAAAATCCATACGAAATAGTTTAGTGAACAGACAATATGTTCGATAACAACAACAACCACATATCCAGTGTAATTCCATAAGTGAGGTCCAGAGAGGATAGAGTGTACACACAGACCTTACCCCTATCTTGTGGAGGTAGAAAGGTCGTTTTTGAACGACCCTTGGTTCAAGTGAAGTAAATCAAAGTAGTTATGATAACGGAGAAAACAGGCCAATTAAAACGGAAAGCAGTACAAGGCATCAAGGAAACGAACACTAACAACAACGAAATGATGCAGTAACTAAAACACAAATGATAACAGACGGTAACAAATATCAAAAGCCAGAAACTACATGTATAAGACGATATGTTCAACAAAAACGTGTACTTGATGAAGCTGAACGCATTCCATATATATGGTTGATTTGCTGCAGAATCGAAATACCTGTTGTGTCTTAGAGCTGCATTCTACATAAGCTGCAGCACCGATTTGTTTCCTTAGCTCCTCACCCTGCATTCAAGCTAATCGAGTTATTTGTAACGTTCCATCTATATTAACATAATGCTATATAGCGATAACACACTTGGGCAGGCGTAATGATATTTGAGTCCATATGATCAGCTAGATATGCGTTGTCATCTCGAAGATCTGTACATATATAACAAAGCATATGGACACAAACTCTCAGATTCTGATCTAAGGGGACTCGAATACTGTAGAGTTCGATAAAATTTGAATCCATTTTGATACTTACCTAACTTTGTTCCAACAAGTACAATCGGAACATCAGGTGCAAAACGACGTAGTTCAGGCATCCACTGCATATAATACAGAGTAACTACTCGACAATGAAATTGCAAATGTGACCATATGTTTGTTCAACGAAAATACAACAAACCACTACGAAGGAAAAAGTATACGAAACATCTCAATTTTACCCTGCGTTAGAGAACATATTCAGTATAGTCCCATAAGTGGAGTCTCGAGAATGTATACCTTTTTTAAAACGTTTTCATAGCTTGCTCTACTGATTAAAGAGAAAGCTAATACAAATACATCTGCACATCTATAGCTTAATGGCCTTAATCTGCTATAATCTTCTTGACCTTTAAAAAAAAACATAAGATAATAGTACTAATTAAGCACACAAATCAAAGATTAACAACTTAATAAATCTAATTAATGAAAAAGTACCTGCAGTGTCCCATAATCCCAAATTCACAATTTTTCCATCCATAGACACATTAGCACTAAAATTATCAAACACAGTAGGAATATAATCCTGCAAAAGAACACCACGACAACATATTTAGCATAATCCCACAAGCGACCTCTGAAAACAAAAATAGTTTCGAAAAAAAAAACAAAATAACACTCAACTATAAGAGTGCAACGTGTAATGTGTAAGTCAGACACACGTCACATTACAAGTTCAAAATCTTAACAAAAGCCTTATTATTTAAGTTTAGAAGCCTAACGGAGTCGATTCATTATCCATCGAGTTTCGAAATAAAAAGAATTAAAACTTACAGTGGGAAATCTGTTATTAGTGTAACAAATTAACATACATGTCTTTCCAACAGCTCCATCACCTACAGTCACACATTTGATGAACTTTGAAACATTCATATTCAAAAAAAGAAAAAAATTGTTTTTTTGAAAAAATTAAAATCTTTTCTAAAGAAGGACTATATATGTTTTTACACTTTTTTTTTGTGTTTTTTTAAAAAGAAAGAGAGGGTTTATTAAAGTTTTTTTAGTCAATAAATTTGAATTTTTTTGAGATGATAGAAATAATGATTATTTTTTTTGTTGAAAAATGGGACCATGTTTTTACAAACGGCTAAGAACGACTTTTATGGCGAGTTTGGGGACAACTAGCTGGATTCATATGGCTGTTTCTGACTTTTTATAATATATTATGTTTCGATTAAATTTAAATTTATACTATATATTTTATAATAGGAAGGATAATCGCTTTTAATAAAGATGATTTTATAATTAACATTCGAATTTGATATATTTGGTTAATGATAAAAGAATACTTATATATTTATCACATAGTTTTGGCACATCGGAAAAAATATCCGCACATGTTGTTTAGTTACCAAATTTTATTTTACTTAAGCAGATGATTTATCGAAAATTGCGTATTAGGAAATATTGTGTATACGTTATCTTTAGAGACGTTACTTGTGAGATTAGATGAATATGTTTGTTGTTGTTAGTGGTGTTTTGCCAAATTTTAATAAATATTAAAATACTCTTTCTGCTCAATTAATGTGACTGTAGTTTGACTCACGCATAATTTAATAATGTAACAAAGACTTTTAGATTTTATAGTCTTAAACATATCATGATATTTAATAACTATAACTCTATAAGACAGATAAAATTTGTAATTTTAAATATATCATAATATTTACGTGACAATAACAACTTTTCATAAATATTAAAGTAAAAAAAGCATAAAGTTAATCGTTTTCCAATTCAAAATTAAACATAAGTTTCTAAAAGACATAAAAAGAATAGGAAAAACACATAGAAAGGGTAAAACATGTTCATTATCTAAATAGCCGAACAGATTTACTGTTTACCTGATAAATTATACTTTCATTTTAATTAAAAAAAAAACTATAACATAACAATCTCTCCTTTTTTTTCAACTTGATCTTCCTCCCAAATTCTTTTATCTTCATCAGATCCATAAGCCCAAGCACACACAATAAAATAGAAAAAATTCCCAACACTTAATAAACAAAGTACCCAATAATAATAATCATAATGACCTAAATTCAAATTATTTGACACCCAACTAACTTTCCCTCCTCTACTTGTAACATGATCAACAATTTCCACAATTAAACTTCCAACCAAATTCCCAAATCCCATTCCTAATGAAAACAATGCCACTCCAACACTAGCCATACTCTTAGGAAATTGTGAATAATAAAATTCTATTTGTCCAATCGCGTTGAACGCCTCAGCTAGTCCTGTCAAACAATGTTGTGGAACTAGCCACATTGCTGACATGTCCACTTGTGAGACTGGATGGTTCGCGAGCCCCTGGTCTAGGGCTCGCGAACGTCTCTCTCTTTCCACCAGTGCGGCCACAACCTGGGCCGCACAGGAAAGCAACAAACCTATTCCCATACGTTGTTTGAAGCTGAGACCTCTTGGTTTCCTCGTGAACCTGGAGATCCAGGGCACGAGGACTCGATCATAGAAAACTAGCCATGTTGTTAATGTGAGAATCCCAAATGCACTATAGGAACTTGCTGGGATTTGAAAATTACTACCTTTTGATACATGTCTATCCATTGTATTTGCTTGTAATACTGGAAATGCATGTTGACTAAGTGTTACTGCTATCATAATGCCTGTGGACCAAATTGGAAGTACTTTGAGCAATGCTTTGAACTCTTCAACTTGTTGAATTGTACAAAGATTCCATGGATTTGTTGTAGATGTTTCATTATTTGGATTTCTAATGATACATGCCTTGTTTAGGAACCTATAGAATATGATTTAAAAAAAAATCAATGAAACTTACACTTTTTTCGAAAAATAGTTAGTTATAGATATATACAGTTCGACCAACAAGTTTGCCAACAGACTGAAATATACACGACATATTTACTATCAATGTGTGTGTTGTGTATATATAATTAAGTATGTATAATATATGTATTTTTGATACTTTAATACACCACATCATTAAAAGATTTTCCTTTGTTATACAAAGTGGAATTAATGATATTTGAAATAAAAACGATTTTATATAACAGTCTCGAAATCAGAAAATCGTACCTTAGTTTATTGGATGGAAAAATAGTTCTTGAACCTTTCTCATCATGATGATACCATTCATTAGAACTCATAGGAGGCAATGCAAGATGTTTATTTTTCCATGACACAACAATAACTTGAACAAAATTAGTAAACAAACTTTTATTTGCTTTTAATTTAATAAAAATTGTTGAACCTAAAAGGAAAAATATTGTTGCCAAAAACATTAGTCCTGCTGGTACTCCAAATCCCACAACCCAACCAAATTGTGTTTGAATATACACAATGATTGTGACTGAAATTAACACTGATATTCCTACTGCTGCATAATACCTGTTGGAAAAAAATAATATTTGCGATAAATAACAAAAATAAATACGATATTACAAATTAAAGAGGATTTTAAAAAGGCGAAATAATCTAAAAAAACCTTTGTACTTGATTTCGTTGTCAATTGGACGACCTCTGGGGTCCAGAGGGATCCAGAGTCCAACTGATGCACGAAGTACAGTACACGAGTCTTTTAGATCATTTCGCTTTTAAAAAAAGATAATAATATTTTTTGGTCCTTTTAGTTATTGATAAGCTTAGTTAAAGGTTTTAAATACTTGTATATTCTAAAAACTTGATACTATATATAGATATTTAAATGGTAGCGCGATTAAATAGTATTTTTCGTTGCTTAAATATTGATAAATTCTAATTTGATCCTTATAATATTTCACTTAACATATTTAATCTTCAATCAATCAAGATGTTTGCTTTTTTGGTTCTTTTATATAGGAAATATGTTATATCTCTAAACTATTTTTAAGACTACATCACCATTTACATATAGAGTATCTATAAACCTAAAAAAATCTCATCGAAAATATTTTCAATGAGTGTTATTTTCAACGTGCTTAATTCTAACGAGAGTTTAGCAGAAATTTTGAATTTTCTAGTAGCATGGTTAATATTTCAGAAAAAAGTTTAAAAACACGTAACTAACTATCAAACATGATATTTTACGTATGACGTTATGGTTATGATAATAAATTAGATGCATCATTACCAATTGAAGAAACTTTGCAAGATCCTTCCATTGTTGGGATTTTTAGGGTTGTCAAATTGATCAGCACCAAATGCTAATGAACATGGCCTAATTCCACCAGCTCCAATAGACATCAATACAAATGATGAAAATAGAAATGCATATTGAGCAATGGTTGGTTGAAGACAATTTCCTAATTCTAATTTGCAACCATGTGGCCTTGCTTCTTTAAGTGTAGCTGTTAACCAAAGTACCACCATTCCCTATAACCAAAATAATATATAGTGTTTAAATCTAAATTTGATAACGAACAGAGATGAATTCAGGATATAGAGTCAGTAAATTTAACGTGATTGAGTAGCGTTTGTGTTTATGTTCGGCCAAAAATAATATATTCAGTATTTTTGTGAAATAACGGATATCTGGTCTGGTAAAAAATCCATTACAATTTGGCTAGTGGATAACATTTACGTAAAAAACATGAGAATGAATATTCCAAATTGATTAATAGTGTGTCAATATAGACCGACTACATTACACCACCTTAGGATACAGAGAGGGTGTGGTTCTTCTCCAAACACTATGTGTAACGAGATGCTACTTGTACCAAACTATTACTTATTTTGAATTAAAATCATTAGTTCAATCAGATATACAAAACATGTCTTAGATCTGCCTCGAATCATAAATTTGAAAAACGTGAGACACAATTCCAAATTGATTAACAACGTGTCAGTGTAGACGGACTACATTACACCACCATAGGGTGCGATTCTTCTACGAACAATATGTGTAGCGAGATGCTACATGTTAGTTCAATCAGACACACAAAACATGTCTTAGATCTGCTTTCGAATAATAAATTTTAAAAACGTGAGACGCAATTCCAAATTGATTAACAATGTGGCAGTGTAGACTGGCTACATTACACCACCTTAGGATGCGATTCTTTTACAAACACTATGTGTAGCGAGATGCTACATGTTAGTTCAATCAGACACACAAAACATGTCTTAGATCTGCTTTCGAATAATAAATTTCAATAAAAGTAATATAACAAACACCTAGCACATGTATATATACATATATATACTCACAATTAGGGTGATGAATGTCCCTAAAGCAATGACATAAAATCTTCCCAAGTAAGAATCAGCAAGAAAAGCTCCAAATATTGGTGTGAAATTTGACATGGCATTCCACCAAAATAGAATAGTTGCACCACTAGCATTAGTGATATGATACTCATTTTTCAAATATAAAATCATATTTGAAATTAATCCTACACTTGCAACTTTCTCCAATGCCTCATTTGCTGTCAATTGGCATCATCAAAAACAAAACAAAAAAGATTAATAGATCACTACAACTACTTAAAAAAAAATTGACTTGTCCAAAATATTTCTGATGATGAACTATGTATCATTGTTTCATATAAAAGAAATAAATTAAGAAATACTAACACTTGAACATTATTATTAATGTTTAGTATTTAAAAAAAAAATCATGAAAACATTATCGAATTTACAAATATTAGTATTTAGTTTCCTTCTTTTTCGAAAAATATTTTCTTGCAACCAAAAAGAAAGAAAATGATTTCTCTGTTACTGAAAAATGACTTTTGTCATATCAATCGTATGATTTATTAATACCACGAACTAAAAAAAAATAAAATGAAATTACATACCAATAATAAAAGGCATGGTTCTGAGGCCACCTAATTTCTTGTCACTTGAAACATCCTCAAAATTAGTTTTCACTATTTCTGAATTATTTTCTTTAATTTTTTTCTCCATCACCACAAATTATCACTCAAAAAAAGTTTTTTTTTTGTTCAGAAAAATAAAGAGAAAGCTAGTGAAATTGTTTTTCTTTTTGTTTAACCTATTTAACAGTTTGTTTTTTGCCCTTATGCAAAATGATTCCTTGTTGAAATTTTCCTTATTAAAAAAACAATCGAAAAAAATAATGCCATTTGGCTACATATAGCCAATAATATACCATTACTTATGATGTCAAATTAGAAAAAAACGAGTTTAAGTTATATACATAATCGGTCGATACAATAAATTTTTGCTCTATTTTTTACCAGTTATAATAGATAAATCTATATTATGTTCAACATTATAAATATCCTTTTTTGAATGATATGATATTATATAAAATTCGTTATACCAACGAATGACGATGTATGTAAGTTAAATTTAGTATTAAAAAATCATGAATAGATTGATTCGAATTTGTGATACCTATTTAATCGTCAATATTATCGATCGAATATCTACTTTGTAATCTCAGCTAAGTTGATGACAATAAATTATTGTCTTATAGTGAGAGTCATTTTTCTTTTTTGGAAGTGTGTTATGAACATATTGTTAAACTAACGGCATCAATTTCAAATTAATTAAGCCTAATTGTATACTTTTCTCATAAACTAATAATTAGAGAAATCAAATTTCAATAATATATAATATATAGTGGCGGAGCCAGGATTTTAATAAGAGAGTTTAAAATCTGAAAAATACACCCATGTAATAAGCGAAGGAAATTCGACATCTATTATATATACCTAAAAAATTTATTTTAGATTTTATAAACTGCTACTAAACTTATATTGTACCATGCTAATCCAAGTTAATTATGAATTGGCCTATGTATTTGTTATGGCATCTTGGAAGTGGCAATTTGTCAATTTTGCTTCTTTTTGTCATGAAAATTAGAGTCATTATTATTATTATTATTATTATTATTATTATTATTATTATATTAGTCAACTTTATTTTTACACAAAAATGCAAAATAATCAATTCGATAAAATTTCAGACAAAATGCATGGTACCCAATTTTGACGTTGACATTTAATTTGTAATACAATAACTAAAGACTATAACGATAATAATATAATTATTTATATATTATATTTAGTTATAATAATAAATATATGTATTTATAATCAATATAAATGAGCTTTAGCGACTTTACACACAACGATATTAACTTAATGACCACTAAATATATATGCAGCAATAAATATTATCGTTAAATCTTTTTGTGGCTATAAATATTGCCCTTAAATAAAAATTCTATTGTCACTAAATGTCTTTTTTGTTATAGTGTTTTGTTTGCTCCTTAAACTTTTTTGCACTTGTACTAATCTCGACAACTCTACTGTTATAATATTCAGTATTAATTTTGACTGAATCAATTTCATATAACTGAAATTTAATCATTTTGCAAAAAATTTAGTCAATATGGCCATTGAGATTGGTGTGTACACACCTTATTATTGGTATGTTAAATTAGTTAAAGAAACATTTTTTCTTTTAGAAAAAAGCACTACAAGAGAAGTGGTTGCTTAAAGTCTTGTCAAAAAATGGAAGACTTCATTAGTTTGTGTATCACATAATGCAAAGTTTGAAATTTGAGGACTCTTTAATAATGGTTATCATGTTGCTTCTTATCTTGTGCCTTAGTTTCTAAAAATGACCTCCACTTAGTCTATTAATTGTGGGCTTGTGGCTAGAGTTTAAGGATTATAACAATGGAGGGCTTTCTTGATATAGAAAAAATATACAACTTTTCTCTACTTGGTTTGGTCATTTTTAGGTATTCAACCTAAGTAGGTATTGAGCGAGACAGAGTTAGAATTCAAGTTTTATAAGTTCAATTATTAAGATTGTTAGTTGAATTTATTGTGTATTTTATTTAGATGAACATTATACTAGTACTCTACATCCACCTCTAGTCATAATTCGTATCAACATTATGTATTATATCGATAAAATCTCACCCGATATTAATTATATCAATTTGCTAAGTACATGAATGATACATGTTTTTTTCCATATACATTGGTATCATGCATTAAAATTTATAATTAAGAGAGATAATACATAGTTGATTCCATGACCTTGAGATGCAAATCCCAACAACACGGGTAAATCAACGAGCAATCTCCTCTGCACGTTATTTTTCAGAGCATTATTCACTTTCGAAAAGTATTCAAATTCACGTTGCTTGGTCAAAAATTTCATCTCATCCATAAAATGAACAGTTTATCTTGATATAAACATCGAGTTTAGACCAGTTTTAAATGTTATTATACCTTCAACCACCAAAATACTTATCCTTTTTTCCTAAATCATAACCAAAAAAAAAAGAGTAGTACTTTGTGTTAATGTGTATAAATATTAATTAACCCAATATGATGCATACCACAAAATATAGCAAAAATAATAATTATAGTTTGAATGAAAGAGCAACAATGGGGTGGTGGCTCAGTTGGCTAGCGCGTAGGTCTCATAGCTAAAGAGTAATCCTGAGGTCGAGAGTTCGAGCCTCTCTCACCCCATAACTTTTTTTTCCCCGTATAACGTACGTAGCAAGGTGGACATAAATATCGAAAAAAATGAAGTTTTAAGACATGTTAAAAAAAATTTAATTTCTTTGCTTATATACGGTTTCTCAAATAATGAGAGATTTTTTTAAAAATTTGTACGTGTATTTATTTTATTTATTCAATAATAATCACATATTCGACATTTTTTTAGTTATTTGGTTCTCAGATTATTAGAGAACGGAGATTAAAAAAAAAGAACTAAAACTTAAAAATGATTGTCAGAAATTCAATTATTTGGAATAATAAATATTTTTTGAGATGGATCTTTTATCGAAGTGATCGATATTAAGGCCTTATATATATCTAATCAAAATAAACAAATCTATATTGATTGTCGTTGTGTTGGAACGACGTGGTTAGAGTTTTTTTTAAGTCGTTTTGAGGTTATTTATTGTTTCTTAATTATAATTTTTTTTTTTACAAATATCTAAAAATCAAAATCAAAACTCAAAGTAAATTAAATCAAACATGAAAAAATTGAATCGACACACCACATTAATAAATAAATAAATTAAGGCATCTAACCATTATTGGATTATATGGTACAAAGAAGTGAATCACATCAAATTATTAAACCATTTTACTCTTGTCATTTTCTTATTCTTTGCCATAATGATAATACCATTTTCCTTTTTCCATATTAGTAGTACTACACTAAAATGGTCGTATCATTCAACACCACAAAGGAGATAAATAAAGTTATTTTGTAAAATTTGATATATATATATATATATATATATATATATATATATATATATAAAATTTAATTTATTTTATTGTTATACTCATAGTATAAACAGTAAAATAAATAATACCAGGACTAACTAATAAAACTCTAAACCAAATATTTCATAAAATAATCTTTTATTTTAGGGAAAAAGTGTCTGATATACCCTTCAACTTTGTCATTTGGAGCTGATATACCCCTCGTTATAAAAGTGGCTCATATATGCCCTTACCGTTATACAAACGGCTCACATATACCCCTGCCGTTACAAAATGGCTCACATATACCCTTCATTTAACGGAAGTTAAAAAATTAGTTTTAAATTTATATTTATTACTTCTAATTTTTTAAAAAAAATTATTTAAGGGTATATATGATTCTTCTATCAAAGTTCAAGGTATATTTTAATTTTTTTATACATAAATTATTTTCTGACTTCTTTTATTATAATTATTTGAATTTCTTATTCTTATTTTGTTTTTTTCTTTCATTCCTTAGTTTAAAGAATAAAAAATTAAACTATTTTTTTGTGTATTGTAATTTAACTTCGTATTCGAAGAAACAATTTGGTCATCTACAATAAGTTTTACAAGAATATTAGTGAAACATAAATAAATTTGATTATTAAAATAATAATTATAAATTAGTCATTGAAACAAAAAAGTAAAAAAAAATATGTTTGACGAGGATTAAATTTACTCATATGGGATTATATTTTTTTAAAAAAATAATAAAAATTTAGATTAAAATTATTATTTTTTTCATTTCCGTTAGAGGAAAAGGGTATATGTGAGCCATTTATTTACAAGTAGGGGTATATATGAGCCACTTTCATAACAAGGGGTATATCAGCTCTAAATAACAAAGTTGAGGGTATATCCGACCCTTTTCCCTTAATTTATGAAGAGATTATTATCCTTTTATCATATTAAAGAACCATGAGAGTACTCTTGGTAAATAATACCACCATGGCCGGAGTTAGGGAGTTCAAAGGGGTTTATCCGGATCTCATATATATATATATATATATATATATATATATATATATATATATATATTGTAAAGTATTCAAAATTATTTTATATGTATATTAACAAACATTATTGTATTTTTTAGGCTTTTCGTATGTTTACTTTTTTTTTATATTTAATCTTTTTTTCTTAGTGAAAATCTTAATTTTGCTATTGTTATTTGAAAAGCCTTTTTTTTGTTCGTTCATAAACTTCATATATAATCAAAGACTTAACATAAAATGAAATTTGAAAAAAAGAATTTACTTTAAGGTTGTTAAAATGATTTATGCCTAGTTATAACATAAGTTGATCAAATTCTTCAAAAATATTAATAAATGTGTTGAATTCTTCAAAAATTATATATTTTTAAAGAATACAAACACAAATATAACAACGATTTTGGAAAGTCTTAGCAATTCATGTTATAACTAAAAAGGGTCCCATGACAAGAAACAAGTGGAAGTTAAAGTACAATAATTGATGCAATTTTTTCTTTATAAGTATTCATTGGATTTATATATCATGTGACAATATTGGATAGGGGATACACACCATATTTGGTTTGTTGGTTTGAGTGGCGCAAATAATTTTTACATTTTACGAGAGTTAAACAATATAAATTCTTATATATCAATAATTTAAGATATATATCAACTA